CTTCTGATCTCGCGGAGTACAACTAGGAAGCTGCTAAGTCGAGCCCTGAGGACACAACAAAATGAACCGCTCTGCATCGTTATTTCACGCACCATGCTCCGATGGCTCTGCCACGCGTTACGCATACCAGCCCACCGGCTCTCGCTACGTGCGTTGTTTGCGCGCCGGGGGTGTTGATGGAAGAGGAGGAGGGGTGGCCAAGCGATGACTTGGTCGAGAGGAATGAAGGCCCTCACTTCGAAGCTTGCCTCGGTTGGAGCGTCTCGGCTCCCTGGTTGGGGTCCAAAAGGTGATGAACACGTATGCCTGGATACTCTTGTTGATATGGCTAGGAGCCGACCTCAGTGGCGTTCGTGCTGTGAATTCCTTTGTCCCACCCCATCCCTCTTAGCTTACCCTCCAACCACGATCTCACCATTTAACATCTTATACTTTTACATAGGAAATTACTTTGTTTGCTTCATAGTAGCCGGCAGACAGCTTACCGAAACGATGCCCATCCGTTACCGGTAGCTCAGCTGGCTTGCACTTGCGGGATTTTATTCCCTCTTTTTCTTTTAGGTATTGCAGCACAGTAGCTGAGGTGTTTCCCACCTCTAGCTTACGTGTATATTGTGTATGTGTCAATCTGCGGGGGTCCTTTAGATGGTGGCCTGCTCTAGCAGTTTGGAGCAAACTATTCAATGAGTAGCAGCATCGTAGATGTTTCCATGCAGCGTCTAGGTCCATGGATTGCGTACTATTCCAGTCCATGTTGCTCGCAGTCCTTTTTAATCTTGGCTGATCAGTGTGCCAGAAATTTCGACGCAGTGTCCTCTGATCATGGGTTGTGAGGCGTCATGTCTACGAGAAGGGGACCGTACAGGTGTCGTTCCTCCCTATAGGTCGGAGGATCGTTAAATTAGACATCAGATGGGGCCAAGATTAGGACCAGCTATGGATTGTTTGGTGTGTACTGATTGCAGAAGAGTAGTAGGGAGAGTTGAATGGTATAGGTAGAATTTCGTCACATCTAGGCTCACTCAGACAGCCGCCACAAGCCCGGAAAAGCACTGTACGCGCGTTTCATCCTTTCGGGAATCATCAGCAGTGCGCATTCCATCGGACCCTTGGTAGGGCTCGAAACCGCAACTCGACTGTTGCCAGTCCGTGGTTGAGACCACTGAGCTACGGGGGACGGCAACGACCATCGTGAATAAGTTACTAGATGTGATATAGCGCCGCTCACTATCCACTGACTTACACGTTACTGCCGTGCATAGGACAGGGTAGCCCCCTCACCAAGCGACGAGCTTAACAAACTTAAGCCGCCAATTATCTTATGGCATTATAAGCAGTTTGTTCTGTGTACTGATTGCAGAAGAGTAGTAGGGAGAGTTGAATGGTATAGGTAGAATTTCGTCACATCTAGGCTCACTCAGACAGCCGCCACAAGCCCGGAAAAGCACTGTACGCGCGTTTCATCCTTTCGGGAATCATCAGCAGTGCGCATTCCATCGGACCCTTGGTAGGGCTCGAAACCGCAACTCGACTGTTGCCAGTCCGTGGTTGAGACCACTGAGCTACGGGGGACGGCAACGACCATCGTGAATAAGTTACTAGATGTGATATAGCGCCGCTCACTATCCACTGACTTACACGTTACTGCCGTGCATAGGACAGGGTAGCCCCCTCACCAAGCGACGAGCTTAACAAACTTAAGCCGCCAATTATCTTATGGCATTATAAGCAGTTTGTTCTGTGTACTGATTGCAGAAGAGTAGTAGGGAGAGTTGAATGGTATAGGTAGAATTTCGTCACATCTAGGCTCACTCAGACAGCCGCCACAAGCCCGGAAAAGCACTGTACGCGCGTTTCATCCTTTCGGGAATCATCAGCAGTGCGCATTCCATCGGACCCTTGGTAGGGCTCGAAACCGCAACTCGACTGTTGCCAGTCCGTGGTTGAGACCACTGAGCTACGGGGGACGGCAACGACCATCGTGAATAAGTTACTAGATGTGATATAGCGCCGCTCACTATCCACTGACTTACACGTTACTGCCGTGCATAGGACAGGGTAGCCCCCTCACCAAGCGACGAGCTTAACAAACTTAAGCCGCCAATTATCTTATGGCATTATAAGCAGTTTGTTCTGTGTACTGATTGCAGAAGAGTAGTAGGGGGAGTTGAATGGTATAGGTAGAATTTCGTCACATCTAGGCTCACTCAGACAGCCGCCACAAGCCCGGAAAAGCACTGTACGCGCGTTTCATCCTTTCGGGAATCATCAGCAGTGCGCATTCCATCGGACCCTTGGTAGGGCTCGAAACCGCAACTCGACTGTTGCCAGTCCGTGGTTGAGACCACTGAGCTACGGGGGACGGCAACGACCATCGTGAATAAGTTACTAGATGTGATATAGCGCCGCTCACTATCCACTGACTTACACGTTACTGCCGTGCATAGGACAGGGTAGCCCCCTCACCAAGCGACGAGCTTAACAAACTTAAGCCGCCAATTATCTTATGGCATTATAAGCAGTTTGTTCTGTGTACTGATTGCAGAAGAGTAGTAGGGGGAGTTGAATGGTATATGTAGAATTTCGTCACATCTAGGCTCACTCAGACAGCCGCCACAAGCCCGGAAAAGCACTGTACGCGCGTTTCATCCTTTCGGGAATCATCAGCAGTGCGCATTCCATCGGACCCTTGGTAGGGCTCGAAACCGCAACTCGACTGTTGCCAGTCCGTGGTTGAGACCACTGAGCTACGGGGGACGGCAACGACCATCGTGAATAAGTTACTAGATGTGATATAGCGCCGCTCACTATCCACTGACTTACACGTTACTGCCGTGCATAGGACAGGGTAGCCCCCTCACCAAGCGACGAGCTTAACAAACTTAAGCCGCCAATTATCTTATGGCATTATAAGCAGTTTGTTCTGTGTACTGATTGCAGAAGAGTAGTAGGGGGAGTTGAATGGTATAGGTAGAATTTCGTCACATCTAGGCTCACTCAGACAGCCGCCACAAGCCCGGAAAAGCACTGTACGCGCGTTTCATCCTTTCGGGAATCATCAGCAGTGCGCATTCCATCGGACCCTTGGTAGGGCTCGAAACCGCAACTCGACTGTTGCCAGTCCGTGGTTGAGACCACTGAGCTACGGGGGACGGCAACGACCATCGTGAATAAGTTACTAGATGTGATATAGCGCCGCTCACTATCCACTGACTTACACGTTACTGCCGTGCATAGGACAGGGTAGCCCCCTCACCAAGCGACGAGCTTAACAAACTTAAGCCGCCAATTATCTTATGGCATTATAAGCAGTTTGTTCTGTGTACTGATTGCAGAAGAGTAGTAGGGGGAGTTGAATGGTATAGGTAGAATTTCGTCACATCTAGGCTCACTCAGACAGCCGCCACAAGCCCGGAAAAGCACTGTACGCGCGTTTCACGATGGTCGTTGCCGTCCCCCGTAGCTCAGTGGTCTCAACCACGGACTGGCAACAGTCGAGTTGCGGTTTCGAGCCCTACCAAGGGTCCGATGGAATGCGCACTGCTGATGATTCCCGAAAGGATGAAACGCGCGTACAGTGCTTTTCCGGGCTTGTGGCGGCTGTCTGAGTGAGCCTAGATGTGACGAAATTCTACCTATACCATTCAACTCCCCCTACTACTCTTCTGCAATCAGTACACAGAACAAACTGCTTATAATGCCATAAGATAATTGGCGGCTTAAGTTTGTTAAGCTCGTCGCTTGGTGAGGGGGCTACCCTGTCCTATGCACGGCAGTAACGTGTAAGTCAGTGGATAGTGAGCGGCGCTATATCACATCTAGTAACTTATTCACGATGGTCGTTGCCGTCCCCCGTAGCTCAGTGGTCTCAACCACGGACTGGCAACAGTCGAGTTGCGGTTTCGAGCCCTACCAAGGGTCCGATGGAATGCGCACTGCTGATGATTCCCGAAAGGATGAAACGCGCGTACAGTGCTTTTCCGGGCTTGTGGCGGCTGTCTGAGTGAGCCTAGATGTGACGAAATTCTACCTATACCATTCAACTCCCCCTACTACTCTTCTGCAATCAGTACACAGAACAAACTGCTTATAATGCCATAAGATAATTGGCGGCTTAAGTTTGTTAAGCTCGTCGCTTGGTGAGGGGGCTACCCTGTCCTATGCACGGCAGTAACGTGTAAGTCAGTGGATAGTGAGCGGCGCTATATCACATCTAGTAACTTATTCACGATGGTCGTTGCCGTCCCCCGTAGCTCAGTGGTCTCAACCACGGACTGGCAACAGTCGAGTTGCGGTTTCGAGCCCTACCAAGGGTCCGATGGAATGCGCACTGCTGATGATTCCCGAAAGGATGAAACGCGCGTACAGTGCTTTTCCGGGCTTGTGGCGGCTGTCTGAGTGAGCCTAGATGTGACGAAATTCTACCTATACCATTCAACTCTCCCTACTACTCTTCTGCAATAATAAGAGACTCGGCCGTAGCTGTGCATGCATTAGACACGGGTCACCAGATAGACCTCGAAAACGTAGAGGTCATTAGGAAGGGTATCCGATCAACCACTCAGCGGCTGATTGCCGAGGCGGTGGAAATTGCCAAATCTGACGACTGCGTGAATAGAATGGAGGGGGTAGAAATCCCTAATGCGTGGCGGGCGGTCTTAAGCCGACCAGCTTGACGAGCATCGATGCGTGGATCAGATTGAAAAGTGCAAACCGACTCCCATTGCCAACACTACGGGCTTATCCGTCAATGTCATGACACACAAAGGAACACCTGGACTATTCCCACTGTGATCGAACCACCTGAGGTGACATCCCGAACTGTTCCTGTAATGACTCATGGCTCAAGACTCGGGTAAAGCGGTTATCGCCCCTGTTCGCTATAAAATCCCACACCAATTGCACACTGATTCACCTGGTCTGATGAAGCCTCTATGTTAGAGGCGAAACGTTACCAAATTACTATACAAAACCGATTGTTTTCAAACCTCTCTGAACTCATGACTACTCGATCGGTTCCAAGTATCTTCCAAGAATTTGAAACCCATTACGGACCCCGTGTTCGAAAACTGGCAAGTGAATTCGTTCGATTGGCGGGCCTTGAAGCGAACTGGGAGAACCATCGCGTTTTCAACATGAGATGTCTTAAGACTAATCTGATCCCCAAATATCTCACAGTGAAACCTCCGGACAGTACGTATACCTCTGCAAGGATTGCCTTTAATGCTTCCAAGGCGTTTCTGAAACAGCGGATTTACCTTGTGACCAAACGTTTAAGCGAGATCCGTATTGATGCGAGTCGGCTGAGCTTGGATCTACAGACCGCCATAACGCCTCTCGACTACAACCGACTTTTCAACAAGGCTTCAGATGTCAAATTGAAACAAGGGCAGGATGCAAAGAAAAGACAAACGCGTGAGTTCGAGCGTTTAATGTCTGTGCATCCCAGTGCTACCGGTCCTACTGACAGTTCTGGGTCTATTAATACATATTGTAATGTTGTTAATATGTCAGATAGGGTTTTGAATGTAACGGAATGTAGATTGTTAGAGAAAGGTTTGACATTTACCATTAATAAATCTAAGATATATGCGGAAGAGATTATCCCAAGCATTGAGAGCGCGGTGACAAAGTTGCCCGCTACGAAGGCAGAGAATCTTCGGGCACAGTTAGTAAATATCATTAAGTTTCAGCAACCGGGTGAGCCAAATCTTCCGAAAACTGAACGTATAGCATTAAATTCCCTAAAGGAAGATCACAGTATTGTACTTACAAAGGCTGACAAGGGAAAAACCCTAGTTGTAATGAATAGGTCAGAATACTTGGAAAAATTGGGACAACATTTGGAGACGGGTCCATATAGAGTAGTTGTTGATAAGACCGTGGCGTCGGTAATGAATAAGAGTAAAACGGAGGTTGGTAACTATTTAAGAACCGTGAAGGACGATTTAGGGGTAGGCAAGTGGTACAGTCTATACCCAAAATCGACTATACCTCCGAGGATTTATGGCTTGCCAAAAGTTCACAAGCCCGAAGTTCCCGTACGGCCCATAGTCGACGGTATAGGCTCTCCGACCCATGAACTTGCGAGACATTTGGCAAGGCTATTGCAGCCTCTAACAGGGCGAACGAGTACATTCGTGAAAAACTCTTATGATTTCGCTCAAAAGATAGCAAATCTCCAAATTGAGTCAGATGAGTTAATGGTCAGCTTTGATGGCACATCACTTTTCACAAATGTACCTAAAGAGGAGTCGCTAGGAATAGCGAGACGTCGTCTGAATGAAGATGTCACTCTGAATGATCGGACGAAACTAACAGTTAGCCAGATAATCGAGGGTATGACAGTGTGTCTTAACATGTCTAACTTCGTTTTTCAGTCAAAGCTTTACAGTCAGGAACAAGGTCTCGCCATGGGATCGCCAATATCCCCGGTACTGGCGAACCTGTATATGGAAGAATTCGAGAACAGGGCGTTAACAAACAACATTAACTCACCCAAAGTTTGGTGGCGTTATGTAGACGACACCTTTGTACTTGTTAAACGGGATAAGAAGGACGAGTTACTTGATCACTTAAACTCCATTGATGAGAGAATACAGTTTACTATTGAGTTAGAATCTTGTAGCGGCACAATACCGTTTCTTGACTGCCTGGTTCACAGGAATGGGGGAAATTTAAAGACGACAATATATCGCAAGCCAACGGATACTGATGGCGTACTCCACTACACCTCGGGTCATCCGAAACAGGTTTACGCTGGGATAGCCTCAGCGCTTTTCTACAGGGCACAAACCTTGTGCACAATGGAGGAGGACAAAAAGGCTGCGCGGAAAGTGGCAATGGGCAAACTATTAGAAAGTGGTTACCCAAGACGGCTAGTTAAACGCCAATTACATAAAGTGCTACACCGGCAGTCAAGACCCCCAGCCGAGTGGATAGGGACGGTCGGAATTCCGTACAAGGAAGGCACTTCGGAGGGTATTAAACAAGGAAAATATAAGGGTGATCTTTCACCGAGGTCGAACGTTACGTTCGGCGCTGGTACACCTGAAGGACCCGCTTCCCAAGGATAGGACGACTAACTGTGTTTATAAAATTAAATGTAAGGACTGTGCACATGTGTACATAGGCCAAACAGCGAGAGAATTACGCACACAAATTTCTGAGCATAGGAGACGCATTGCAAGACTACCAAGAAACGAGTTTGAATATCAAGCAATAATAAGAGACTCGGCCGTAGTTTTTTTTTTTTTTTACACGGGTCACCAGATAGACCTCGAAAACGTAGAGGTCATTAGGAAGGGTATCCGATCAACCACTCAGCGGCTGATTGCCGAGGCGGTGGAAATTGCCAAATCTGACGACTGCGTGAATAGAATGGAGGGGGTAGAAATCCCTAATGCGTGGCGGGCGGTCTTAAGCCGACCAGCTTGACGAGCATCGATGCGTGGATCAGATTGAAAAGTGCAAACCGACTCCCATTGCCAACACTACGGGCTTATCCGTCAATGTCATGACACACAAAGGAACACCTGGACTATTCCCACTGTGATCGAACCACCTGAGGTGACATCCCGAACTGTTCCTGTAATGACTCATGGCTCAAGACTCGGGTAAAGCGGTTATCGCCCCTGTTCGCTATAAAATCCCACACCAATTGCACACTGATTCACCTGGTCTGATGAAGCCTCTATGTTAGAGGCGAAACGTTACCAAATTACTATACAAAACCGATTGTTTTCAAACCTCTCTGAACTCATGACTACTCGATCGGTTCCAAGTATCTTCCAAGAATTTGACACCCACTGCTTTGTGCGTCAGGCTGTTGAGCCAAAGGCTCCGGGCGGAGTCCCTCAAGCAAACCTCCGAAGCACAACGACCACCTCGCGTGCGATTGCCCACCAATGCAATCGGATGCCTGTGCGCAAAGCACTCAGCATCGGATGCTGGAACATGCGCACACTACTGGAGTGGAACTTCAGTGAGTGCCCCGAGCGACGCACTGCACTCGTCGCGATGGAGCTGGCACGCTACCACATCGATATTGCGGCGCTCAGTGAAACCCGACTCGCTGAGCAAGATAAGTTGCATGAAACAGGTGCTGGCTACACATTCTACTGGGTGGGCAACGCCGCCTCAGCACCACGTGATCATGGGGTCAGATTTGCAATATCCGATCGCCTCCATGGTCAGCTGGTGGGTGAACCAACAGGCATCATCGCGCGACTGATGACTGTTCGCCTACGACTCGGAAGAGGTAAGTTTGCTACTTTTATAAGCACGTACGGTCCGACCATGTGTTATCCTGATGACACGCGTGATCAGTTCTACACTGAGCTATCCTCCCTGATACGGTCTGTGCCGAGGAGCGACCGACTATTTCTGCTGGGTGATTTCAACGCGCGCGTTGGGCGCGATGCGTCGGTGTGGGCAGATGTTATCGGTTCGCATGGCATTGGTTCAGCGAATGCGAACGGTGACAGGCTGCCCTCACTGTGTGCCACTACGACCTGACGATGACGAACACTCGGTTTGCACTGAGTGCGAGTGATATAGCAACTTGGAAGCACCTACGGGGTGGTCACGCTCACCTGCTCGACTATGTCATCGTACGTCAGCGTGATATGCGTGAAGTGTGCATGACACGTGTACTGCGTGGAGCTGAGTGTGGCACTGATCACAAATTGGCGCGAACCAAACTATACATATATTCGTAAATCTGTGTGTTGCACTCCCGCCGTAAGTCGGCGTAACTTGAGCATTCTCTCCCTCGGTACTGTGGCGAAACGTACTGAGCAGGAGAAGGCGATGGCTGCACGCCTGTGTGATGTGGGCTGCATAGCCACAATGGGTGACCTGTGGCACCAAATTCGCGACCAGGTGACAGTTGCTACCGAGGAGATCATCGGGCGCACAAACTGTAAGCGGCGTGATTGGTTTGATGACGACAATGCGACGATGGGCGCATTGGTGTCGGGGAAGAATGCAGCATTTGCTACACATATGGCAGACCCCAGGGACTTGGGGAAGAATAGTCAGTTTTGCAAACTTCGACGGCAACTGGCCCGAAAGCTCCGTCGCATTAATAATGCATGGTGGACGGAGAAGGCGAAGCAGATGGAATGCTACGCCGAACGCCGTCAACACAAGGAATTCTTTGACTCCTTTAAGGCGGTGTATGGACCGAGATTGGAGCCGCTGAGGACGCTGATCGATGGTAGTTCAGGCGCTACCTGCACACAGACTGCAGACATAATGCAGATCTGGCGGAATTACTTTGACTGTCTCTTGAACAACCGTTCAGAGATCGACTGGCCTACATTGGACAGCCTGAAGCAGCACGATGTGAAGGCGGATCTGGCGGATACGCCGACACTGGATGAGATGCAGAGAGCACTTGCTCAGCTGCGAAACGGCAAGTGTGCCGTTGTCAACGGGATCCCACCTGAAGTATTGAAACACGGCGGACCCGCGTTGCTGACTGCGCTGCACCACTTGGTGCAACGTGTATGGATTGAGTAGGAGGTGTCTGCTGAGCTGCATGATGCCCTTGTGCTGCCACTGTACAAGGGCAAAGGGAGCAAGCAATGTTGCACGAATTATGGTGGCATCAACTTGCTGAATTGTGTGGGCAAGGTGATTGCCCGAATCCTGCTCAACCGTCTCGTCAGTCAGGTTGTGGAACCTAACGTGGCGGAAGAGCAGTGTGGATTCCGTTCGGGTCGCTGCACTATAGATATGGTGTTTGCGGCTCGTCAGTTGCAGTAGAAGTGCAGAGAGCGACACCAGCCATTGTAATCGCTTTTTGTTGATTTCACCAAAGCATTTGATGTGCTGAACCTCGAGGCATTGTGGCTGATGTTGGATAAGTTTGGTTGCCCGCGTAAATTTGTAAGTTTAATTGAATGTCTACACAGTGGTATGCGAGCAAGAGTGCAGCTGAGTGGAGAGACCTCGGATGACTTTGCAGTTGCCTCTGGTGTTAAGCAAGCCTGTGTCTTACCGCTTGCCCTGTGTAATACATATCTTCATGCAATGATGTTTTGTGCTTTTGATGCCGCTTGTGCTTACGGTGTTCGTGTGGAGCACCGTATTGATGGTTGGTTGCTTAACATACGTGGTTTCGGTGCGAGAACTTTAGTCTATGAGACAAGTATCCGTATATTGCTGTGTGCTGACGACTGTGCGTTGTTTGCACACAGCGCGGATGAGTTGCAGCACATGACTAGTGCTCTGGCTTCGACAGCGGCCAAATTCGGGCTCACCATCAACACAAGCAAAACTGTCTGTCTCTTTGAGCATCCACTGGAGGTGCAATATTCAATATCGCCGCAAAATAGTCTTGGTGCTGAAGTATTGGAAACCACCTCCCGCTTCTGCTACCTTAGGAGTGTGATATCGACTGACCAACAGCTACACTGTGAGCTGCGTATCCGCGTCTCGAAGGCAGCGGCGGCATTCGGGAAGCTAGAGTACCGAGTGTGGAACAACCATCAGCTTACCATTGGCACGAAGCTAATGATGTACAAATCTATGATGCTGTCTGTTCTTCTATACGGCTTTGAAACTTGGACGATGTACCGTCGGGATGTGCGATATTTCCAGCGGTTCCATCAGCAGTGTTTGCGAAAGGATTTTGCGCATCGGCTGGGGCGACAGAGTTGCACACACGGAAGTGTTGCACCGAAGTGCAATGTATGCAGTGGACTGCATACTTTTGCTGAGACAACTGAGATGGCTCGGTCATGTGAGCCGTATGGATTCGACGCGGATACCGAAACAATTATTAGATGCGCAGCTGAGTATTGGGAAGCGGCATTTAGGGAAACCAAAGTTACGTTACCAAGACATGATCAAAGTGAGCCTCTCACGTTCTAAGCTTGATTGATCGGCGTGCATGGCCCGATCTGATCACGAAGGCAGTTGCCGAAGTGCGGGGGTAAAACCTCATGCATGCAGAGAAGCGGCAAGTGCGGAAGCGACAGTCGCCGAGGGGTTGTACTCCGTCGACATCGAGCGCATACTACTGTAGCACATGCGGTCGCGAGTGCCTGAGTCAGGCAGGCCTAGTGAGCCATGAGCGAGGCCACTCGGCACCACCACCGAAGTGACGACGGGTCCTGCAGAGAACGTAGGCAGAACCGGCGCAGCGTTCGTAGGTACATTGCATTCGATTTACTGTACCGCGTGCTTGCATGCTAAGTCTATATTTCAGGTGGTGGGTTTGCAATGTGGTCCTAATGCTTTTTTTCCTCATATTAATCTCTACTTGTACTATCTTCTATAAACTTGCACACGTCGCTGAGGCTAATTGTAGCTAATTTCGATGACATTTTCACGTTTGCGATATTTCCTTAAAATATTGATTGATTCCCAGCTACATCGTGCTTGTGTTTGCCTGTGAACGAGTGTGGGACGGCTCGGTTGATGAAACGTGGCTCCCATCCACATGCCTCCCGGTTTTATTCTTTCGGGTTTACACTGGATATGGGGTGTGTGGATGGAACTGTGGGTGGTGCAGCGCAAGCCACTTATGGTCCCTCTGTAGGCGCAGGCATCCTGTTGCTGACCACAGTGACAGGCAAATCCGAAACCGGATGCCGCCAACCATGCTATTGGTTGATTTGGAATTGGCCACCAACACAGACAGCATGCAGTTTTCTCTGTCTGCAGCGGTTGAATCTTTTGTAGTTCTTTGTGTGGGATATGACTGCACCATGTACCCCTGTGGTAAGAGATATTTTGAGCACGAACGCCTATCAAACAATTTGATCGATGGCCAACAATTAGGGAGGTGAAAACTGGTGGATAAAATGGAATTTGTGATGAGACTATATGGGTGAGGTGTTACAGAGGGGATTACGAGACCTTACATCTTCAGCGCTGGGGTCGCAAACCTGTCCTTGCTGCTCGGTGCAGTACACGGGGCTGCGTTGATTATCCTCTGCGACAGACTGATTATCAAAATTCCCTTGAATTTCACTGTATTGAGTGTTCAACATACTGTCAGGTTGACCACACTTAACAGGAGAATGATTAGGGTTCTCATCGGAAGGTTTTTTTCAATGCCTGGCTGCACTGCAGCGGTTTTTGCGTTGGGTTACATAAATACGGTTTTTACGCATAAGGAACAACTCTCACTCCAGCCTAGAGGGCCAAGCGGCTGAGTTTGCCTGGCCTCTAACCATTGACCAATCTGATATTAATGACTGAAAAAGCAAGATGGACCAGCAAGGACAGCTAAATGGATCGCTGAGGCACACAAACCTTCGCACCAGCCTCATCGCCTTGGAATCGACTACGACGTCACGAACCCTACAGAAGAATCTCGAGGCGCTTTTGCTAAGCTTCGCCACTTATGATGCCGGCGCCATATCACTCTCTCCTTGAAGGTTGAAGTGTGCAATGCAGCCGTACCTTTGACCCTACTGTACGGTTGTGTTACCTACCTGGCCTATTAGACGGTCAAACATAATGAGGTTAGTTGCCTTCGGTCGTCGCTACCTTCCAGCTTAGTTGATGTTTAGTGGGAACACTGCATGTACAATGAACGTGTTCGGCGTTGTGTATTTGGTGAAGGAAGAAGTGAATCTCTCAGTTACGTCATATGACGAACCACACTCCGATGGCTGGGGCACATGCTGCGCATGCCTGCACATCGACTCCTGCATCGTGCGTGCGGGGTTTTTGATGGAAGGAGAGAAGAGGTGGCGAAGCGGTAAGTTGGTGAGGAGGAATGAAGACTCTGTTCGAAACTGGCCACGCTTGGATCCTCTTGCCTCCTCGGTTGGGGCTCGAAAGACGATGAACACCTTTGGCTTGATACTGTTGTTCGCATGGCTATGAGCCGACATCATTGGTGTTCATGTTGAGAATTTATTTGTCCTTCCCCCGCCCTCTTCTCCTCATCGTTCAACTACCTGGTCATTTCTGACATACAGTGTTACATATTTCGGCACGATATTCGGTTGCTAGCTATCCGGGACGATGTGCATCAATTCTCGGTTGCTCAGCTGAAGTGACTGTGTCGCGTCTATTTCTTTTTTTAAATATTTCGACACAACATCTGAGGTGTTTCCTACCTATAGCTAACGTGTGTAGGGATGCTCATGATGACCTTCAAAATTTAAAGCTTCCCTCTAATATTAACAAGGATCAAACGCTTTGACGAATCTTCGGGAGATTAGCTAGAAGTCCTTTATGGCGGCGCGTTTGAATCGGCCGTTTCATTTTCACTGGAATATTGCTCTTACTATCTGCTGCGGATTTATCTGCTTTCACTGAGCTTTTTGTTAGAACAGTTACAACATCATTAACGCTGTCCTTGCTGACTTTTGAAAATGGACTTTTAGACATTGCGCGAATCAGGTTTTGTAATTTAAGAAATCCTCGTCTGGATCGTTTATTTGATTGACACATACACTTCAAATGCCATTTTGTCCAGTTGTACAATTTTGCTTTCTATTCACAGCGAATATTGTGAAATGATGCAAATGTACTCTCTGGGGTATATAACGCTTATATTGACTTGAATTGACCTGACCTGGGCAGCACCCGTGGAGTAGTAAATCAGGCCACAAATCGCACTGCAGAATTTGAATGCGCCTCTGCTATTGTTCAAAAGCTAAGGCACTGGGATGTTTTATCACTAGCATTCTGAATTTTCTTGTCTGCAGTGCAGCTAATCGCTTCGGCCCTCTTGTTCAGTTGCGAAACGTCCCATTACATCGTCCGTCAAAAAGAGGCTACTTTCGTTCGAACACCATTATCTTCGCAGTTTAAGTCATATCTCGTTGGAACAAGACACGAGGAACGTGCCTGTTCGGTGGCTTGTTTATGACAATGAAAGAGGAAGTGAACCACTCAGTACAAGTATTGAATGTAGCAGGCTCCGATGGCTGCACCATGTGTTGCGTATGGCAACACACCAACTCCGGCAGCGTTCGTTGTTTGTACGATCGGAACCTAGATGGAAGAGGGTACTCCGATCAATGACCTAGTCAAGGGGAATGAGGGCTCTTACTTCGGACTTCGCCTGTGTTGGTGCCTCCTTACTTCCGGGTTGGCGTCCCAAAGATAGTGCATGCTTTTATGGTTCGAGACACTTGCTGATATGGTGAGCAGCCGACCTCAGTGACGCACAGCATCACCCTCTAACTAGGATCTAATGCTCGATGTATAATATAAAAAAACGAAGCGCAATGTCATTTGTTTCATGCCGTACTCTGGTGACTATTGTCTTTTGTATACCCTAATTACATTGCATTAGAGCTCAGTAGCCGGGATTTCTCACCAGCTAGCGAGCAGAATGATGAGCAATTTGTAATCGGCAATAAACAATGATTTTATACGGTTTAAGAAACATTGCTTTACAAACTCCGGTGGGTTATCGAAAAACGTGAATGAAAAAATGCAGTTAGTAGTTTAACTGTCAAAAAATGGACTTATCGTATGTAGTGCAATAGCCCTGCACTCCGAGTGTTTCCATAGCTTCAGTAGTCCAAAAAATAAGTCCAAGGTTTTCCAGGGAGTAGGATGGAAAATAGCGTCATTTTTAACGCTTACCCTTATAGCACTTTTTAGATGAGGAGATGCAACATGCTACCACGAGTAATTCCACATCGAAAGACTACCACTCTTGCCATTTCATACTTATCACGCTTCTCTTTCTATTATTCTCTTCGGCTTTATTTTCTCGTTTACCCCAAATGGCTTCGGTGCATTTTTTTTTACGACATCCCTATCTGGCACTCTTATGACCCCTATGGAGCTTGTCTCGTAATCTTGCGGCGCGGGTTCGAATCTGCGTAGGGGTGGGCGTCCTCGCGGTATACTCTACCGGCGTGCGACTGGTCGTGGTCGCACGGCGGCAAAGCGCCGTTACGGCTTACAGCTAACACCTTATTATTATTATTGCTATTATTTGTTATTAAGAAAATAGATGAGTTGGTGCACTAGTCAACACTAAGTTCCGGAAAAAAAGTCTGCAACATTTGTTCTCTCGTTCGCAGTTATATTGTTAAGGTTCGAGAATTTAGCAAGATCTAATAGCTTTCACTTAGGATTGCAAGATAACTGTGGGGGAAACCGTACTCTGTCCATTGTCAAACCATCGCAGACGGTAATGGGATCGAAATACAATGTCGTTTATGTGTTCACATCCTGTGAAAGCAATTTACAGTTCGAAGAATTGACGGAATTGCTCCAACGTCATGCGCCCATCGGTTCCACATTCATCCAGCAGCTGCGGTGTTAAAAAGAAAAGAAGTGCAACCAATGAAAGAGTCCAATCAGTTCGTGTTCGATTTGATGCTTATTTAAATTCTGTGGTCCGCAAAAGATTGGGATGTCGGGATGAGGAAAGTACACCGCACCGACGCTTCACTGCAAGGCGACCACCGCCAGTTGCGCGACATGTTTCAAGCCTACCGGATTCTCACTACTCGTTTGGATGAATAAATGTCGAATGATATTAGATCTTTATAATGTTTGCCATGCGAACAGCCAATCAGGTTTGTTGCAGAACGCTGCCCTACAGATATATATATATATATATATATATATATATATATATATATATTCACAAGTCAGTATGGAGACAATGTGCCATCAGAACCATGGCCAAATGTTTATTCAGCAAAGCACGCTCAGCGAATATGGCAACATAACTAGCCTGTAGAATGTTCGATGTATATCGGCAAGCTGCTCCCATGATGAACAACACTTCTGCATTCATAAACTTCTTCCTTTGCTGCGGTCAACAAAACTCACTCCAGCGCAGCCAAACTTGAAGCAATCAGAGTAGAAGCGTAGAACTCCACACATCTGCTTCCTTCATTTTCAGCAAGCTTGCTACATGCTTCCTCAGTTGAATCCGCATCGTACTATTGCTGAGGGTTTCAATAACAGGGGTACAACATTGATTAAGACACTTGGTTTAGTAAGTCTCGACTAGACACGACGTGCGCCTAGAGGTTCACTTAAACACCTTACGTGACTAAGACCGATGCGTCTCATTTGTTCTATCATACACGGTGCAGCCAATTTTTCTCACAGACGCATCTACCTTTCAAAGCCAGGGGCACTATCACAGGACTCCATTTGTGACTTCCCTGAACTGATCTTTCGGTTTTCAGCGACGAACTGTCTGTTCTTCTGATTGAAACAGTCCATCAGATAGCGAACTACAGGACTTTGCCATTGGAATCTAACAACACTGATCTTGTTCTACAGCAAACTCTTCAAAGCTCTATGCTTAAGTCGAGCGATAAAGTCAAGCTTGCTGACCGCTCAACGGCATCAGCGCCACCCACTCCGATAATTACTAACCCCTTTATTGGTCAAGGCACATTCGGCTTGACTGCTATTGACTCAGCCCTAGATGCCACACCTGACGAGTTGGCCACAACACCGGCAGTCCAGAGCCGGATAACATACGCATCGATCACCTCGATAAAAACGCCGGAGGACACTCGTACGTCTACTTTCTGAATCAAGCACGAGTGATGCAAGGATGATTTCACAACATTCTCTAGTGCCCGCTAAACAATCCACAACATTCAAACCGACACTTGCTAAACAGAAGCACAGTGCGTTAATTATCGTGTCCACTAACGTTCCTGAGTCGGGATCCGACACAATAAAAGGCAAGTTGATAGAGGATCGTAAGCAGTGGGATTCCATCATCGATGAGAGTGTTATTCTGGTTGAGCTCACTATGCTAAGACGTGTAGCACGTCACCCAACTTCAATACACTACGGCGAACCTCGATTTCTTCGAGTAACGTTGCACTCAGTTGAGGAAACAGAGACTGTCCTTCACTTAGCAGTTCGTCTTCGCAACTCCTCGATTGCGGTACGCATACTGCCAGATATTTCTTGAAAAGGGTGATCAAAGGAAAAAGAAAACCATGGCACCCCTTCTAGGAATGAAAGCAAGCAAACCATAATTGTTCATTGTGTCTCTGAACTACCGCATTCTCTCTTGATTACCGTGTGCGAACACATGACCGGGAGCGGTGGTGCTACATCCGTGCAGCACTCTTTGGACGACGTTTTGGCAAAAATCATTGACGAGAATTCCTTCATCAAACTACAAGGGCTGCAGTCCAAAAATATTGGAAGTGGTACTACACTCCGAAGGAATGTCAGGAGTCCTATTGGATAGCTGGTTGAAGCATCGCTCTTGGTTACCAACCGAAATTAGGCTGAAGATAGCGGGCGCACGGCCACGAGTAGGCAGCACTTCATTTGAACATGCAACCTCAGTACAACTTTTACCTCCAGTCTTGCATTATGATAGGCACAGTAACACTCTCGACACCTGACAGGGTAGAGAGACGCATGAGAGAACATCGCGATCTGGAATACTCTATGCTACCATCCAACCTGACCGAAGTTATGAATCAATGACCCATGCGAAAAATGATTAGCGGCCAAACGGTCGGCTTAAAACTGAACACAAATTTGGCGTCTACTAGCACACTTCTAACAAATAAGACGCTCACTTGTTTTTCTACTAACGCACAAGACCTTCTCAGATAAATTACAGTGCTTCGGCTACGATGATGTGACTTTTTCATGGTAACCGAGATATGGTTGATTGAAGTGGTCACGGACACCTAGATCGTGGGTTCGATCCCCAGTGGGGGACCGAGGGAATACGTACCACTGACTAGCCTTACTAGGGCGAAACGCGTCTGGTGCTTTTCCGGACTAGGCTTTGCTACGTAGCTTTTGAACTAATGGGATGAATACCTTAAAAGTTTACATAAAATATTCTTTTATTTTTGTTTACTTAAGACTAACGTTTTTACACGCCTACTGTAATGCTAAACAGTTCTTCTGTTCTGGAAGCGACAGTCCAGGAACAGAGTGCAAGTCTCCTTGCACAACAGTAACAATTCCTGTAGTTTTTGAACGCAAGTAAATGATGAATCTGAAGATAATTTTGGATTAATATATCATATCTATACTTTGAGCAGTCGTCCGTTTTCGACACTTTCTCCGTACAAATTGATCGATCAGTCTTTCTTGCACACATTTTATATTCTTCTTTACTTCACTGTTGGCCACGACTGGGTCGATCTCTTGGGGTGATAGATTGAAGCTTCCAACGCTAATAATTATACTCATGCAAGGCGCATTGCCAATGGTTCCCGGGCGAGAAACAAGTGTTTGACTCAAAAAGACGGTTGCTAATAAGGGCTCAGTGGCTTGACTGTCTACACTATATGTACATAAAAACAGCCCTAAAGATGAGTTACATAGGTGATGGCTTGCTTGCTTTAAAAGCCACACCGGCACACGGTCAGATGGGGCATGGAAGTGGGGGTGAAATCCATCGAGGGAATAACCCGCATGGAAGCAGGTCCCCAGGAGACGGTTCCATGGATGACCGTATCACTTCACTTACACTTTTGGAGTTAGCTATACTTCTTATTGTGAATACCTCATAATCTGCCCGAAAGATATAACTGATTAATTAGCCATGTCCGCCAACTAAAGCTTGAGAACTGCTTTGGAAAATTCGAAAAATATAACATCCCTGCGATTCCGCCATACACCACGAACCGTAACATCCAGTTGAACTGTATCTCACCGATTAAGAATATACCGTTATTTTTGTTCAACAGGACTTCATATTGCCCATGCAGGAGCATGGTACTACCTGTGCATATTTGATCTGTGTCAAATCTGGACGCAGCTTCTTCTTTAAAGAGAGATTATTGAGTACATAATTGAGCCGCTACCGTAACTAACGATGTCTCTGCATTCGAGATCCTTCTTTTCCTTCGGTCAAACTCACTCCAGCTCAGCCAATGGTAACCACTCAAGGTAGGCGCGTAGAAGTCCACGCATCTGCTTCCTTCGTTTTCAGCAATCTAGCTACTTGCTTCGTCACGTAAATCCGTCTCGGCCCTCTGATCGCATACCCCCCAGCACACACCTGTACTGCTGAAATTCTTTGCGAATTTTCACAGTCATCTCCATTGACGATATCTGTCAGTTCGCCTATAGACCTCAACACTCCACATCGCATACCGTAGCTCGCCTTGTTTATTTCCTAGCATCAGCATTGGGTCGAAGTGCAAATTTGTATCGGCTTCTTTTCAATGGTTCTCCTAGTGCTTTTGGATGCCTGGGTAGATCGGCGTTTCTCTGTCTTTTTTTGGGTCAGAGTTCACGTAGATGCGCCAGGCTTGTTTTGTGACGGTTTTAGTGATCCAGCTCAGTGCACCCGGCTAAGAGATCCTTTGTTACAAGGGGATCTGAATGGAGTTCTTAAGAATTCATCACAACTAGTCGCAGTAAGACAGTCATCGCACACCCGGAAGAGCACTGTACGGCCATGTTTTCGGGAGTCGTCTGCATTACGCATTCCATCTGACCCCTGCGGAGTTCAAACCCGCAACTCAACTGTTGCCATTCTGTGGATGGGATCACTGAGCTACGGCGGACTATAACGACCATCGCGGCTAAGTGACTGCGCCGGCCACTTTCCACTAGCTTACATGCTAGGCACGGGGGTTACCCTATCCTCTGCACGGCAGTAAGATGTTTTGGCTATCTGACTGAGTCTAGATGTAATAATATCCTTTATTCTCTCCGTGGGATTGAACATTCTACTGGGAACGATCCTCACATTTTCTATTTTCCTTACGTGTCGAGATTCTCCATCTACTAACTGCACTTATTGAATGCAAATATACCCTAGGTGTTATGGTAGTGTGGATGCCTCTTGCCCTTCATTGCATCAACAGGGGTCAAACGAACTGGTAAGATAATTTCCATATGTATCCTTTACTCTGAACCTTCCGAATTGTAGTGACGTTCCCTTTTTTCCTTCTTGATAGTAAGTTGCGGTCTAGCAAAAATCTATTTCCTACGCAGACAGCAACAATATCCGATCTATGTGTACAATCAAACCTACCGTAGTCCGCGCATGCTTGCGAAACGTTCCATAAAGTCACTAGGCTTTGATTTTTGCTCTCCCCCATTGGTTGTACTGCTTTCCCGTCAAGTGAATAAGTACGTCAGCAGTGCCACGCAACCACCACTGCTTACGAGTGGGCCGGGTATACCGCGAGCTTGCCTACATCTTACATTGATTCGGACTGATGACCTCCGATTTACAAGGCAATCACGTAGCCCTTACGGCTATCGCCGACTTGCTCACCCGTCACGGTTCCTGGACTGATTCAAAAGAATTACACCTTGTTGTTGGGATCAACTAAGCTCATT